TGAACATTGTAGGGCTTAGCTTGCCGCTTCATTGCTGTTTTTCCCTCACTTCCCCTTATCGGTGATGAGCGTGGTCACCAATCAGAGCATGTATTCCCATTGAGTCTTAGTCTTGGAAGGGGTTTGCACTGAGGGGACCCGACCACTTGCCTTGATGTTTCCTGGGCAAGCAACTTGCTTGTTCTTGTAGTTCCATTTAATTTTTTACAACTTCCAATTTTCCTAAATTTATACTTTGCACATTCCATGTTCCAGTTATTAATGGAGGTTTACAGTTGTTTCTCTTCATTTTGAGTTGTGCCTTATCAGCAAATAATGGTCCCAGAAGCTTTACTCCATTCATGGCATCACGGTCAACTCTACTTTGAGGAGGCAGCTTTTCCCCTGTCTTATTTTGAGTGCCTTCCAACTTGAGGAACACATCTTCTGGCACTATGTCTGACAATATTCTGGTACTCTTCATCATGTTTCAATATTTAATATTCTCGTGCTGATGGTATTCCACTGCTATTCATAAAGTTTTCAGTGGCTTAACATTTAGAAGTAGTCCACCTCTTCTTCTTAGTCTGGAAGTGTAGCTGAAACCTGCACACCATGGGTGTCCCTGCTGGTATTTAAAATGCCAGTGGCATAGCTTCCAGCATCACAGTCACACTCAAGCCACCACAGTATGACAAACTGACAGACAAGTGGTGGTTAGACTGATGTACCAGGTGGCAAAGGTATCCCTGTAAACGTTGCTGGTGGATGAGAGTGATAGGGGAAGAATCAAACGTGGGAAAGAATGTGTTGCTCAAGAGAGCCTGTGTGGAGAGAACTTGTTTGTGAACCAGAATCCTTTTTCAGAAGGAGATAATATAAGCTGTAGGAAGGTACCTTTGGTCAAATTTAAAATGAGAGGTAAGGGCCAAACATAGTCAGTATTCAAGTCTTTAAATGTGTAAGGAGTGAATGGGTAAAGCACCCAAGTTTGAGAATGAGATTGGTAAAGGCTAGTGGACTGCTTTTCCAATGGGTCTTGCATATTAAAAAAAGGTAGGAAAGGCATCTGAAAGAAGTCACACAAATCTGAAATCTCTATACATTTGTTTATTCCATCCCCACTATCTGGAATGCCACATTTCCTTTTCTATCCCTTTCATGTTTGGTAAAGTAGAAGGTCCGCAAAAAATAAGGGAAACCCTCAGTGAGTTGGGTTGAAGCAATAACCTCAACAAGGGGCTCAAACATATCAAAGATCATGAAGATGGCCTAGGACCAGGCAGAGTTTCGTTCATGAAATAGTTATGAATTGGAGCCAACTTGATGATGATTAACAACTATTTCTTTTCACTCCTGGTGTGGTGCTGTAGGATCAGCTCTGGATCACGAACCACAGGCCAGCAGTTCAAACCCACCAGCTGCTCCTCAGAAGCCCTGTACAAGGTTACTGTGAGTCGGAACTGACTCGACGATGGTAATTAACAACAACAACAATTCTTTGCCAAGTCCTAGTCATTTGTTAACACTCAACTCCAATGTCCCCTCTTTATAAAGTTTTTTCTGGTTACCCCATCTGGAACTCATTTCTCTTTTCTTGCAATCTTTCTGTCATTGCTGTTCACTTCCCCTCCTTCTGCCTTTGTCAGTTCCTTTCCCATGTTCCCATCTTGACATCTAGTGTGGAATCTGTTGGAGGGTAACTCCCATATCTGATCCTATTGGTGTCTCCCAGCACCTAGTCTGGTGCCCAGCACACAGATGCATCCAATATACTGATAGATGAGTTAGTAATTGATTCAATAGGGAAGGCATTCTGTCTCAGTCATCCTTTTCCAAAAAAAGGAGTTGCCTGAGGAGTTTCCCTGGGATGAATGACAATGAAACATGGAGCACTAGCTAACCAGTGACTTGCTCCCTTTGAACAAGTAGGGGTTGTGCTGGGTTTAATTTAGACTGCTCTGCCTTTTATGCTTTACAAGGACTTTCCCACGGCAGACTCAGGACCTGAAGTTTTGTTCCTTTAGCACCACTACTGAGAAATGAGTGGTGAGAGATGCAGTCAAGTGTGCTGGCCCCTGACCTGGTTCTGCTTTTGCACTAGGGTTAGAGCTAGATGCAGCCATGCGGTTTGGCATTTGACTCTCAGCTCAGCAGATGAAACATGCCCATGAAGGGTGCAAGCTTTTGCATGGGTGTGTGTACTTGCATTTAAAGAGTGTATGGACTTAGGTTAGAAATGCAGGATGACTCTCTTGGGTGGACTAATAGTGTATATCCTAGTATGTGAGTTTCTGTTGAATGTGTGTACACATCTCTGAGTTTGTGTGACTCTGATAGTAATGTGTGTACTCCATGTATGTATTGTGTATATGCTTTGCTTGGGCCAAGATGTGACAACTCTCTCTTCTGAGTTTCTGTCTTACTGGTATACATACAATAGTGTGCCTCTGCTGTGGTTATATACGACCATCCACACTAAATGCAAGCAACTCTCTACTCTCCATTGGTTCCCAACAACAATGGCACCGCCTCGTCCTCGGTTCAAAACCTGGGCACCTCATAAAGCAGATTCCAACAGATTTTTTTGGCTCCTCCTTCTTCCTGAGGTGGGGATGAAGGAATGGAGGAGATACACACTGTCTGTCAGGCAGTACTCTTCTTCATAATGCCATTTCAGGTCTTCTTGGTGCTCTGTGTTTCTAATAAAGCCATGGGAGCCACAGGAACCCTGGGCCTTGAGTGTTTATGGCATTATTTGAAGTATTTTAATGGAGTCCAGATGCCAAAAAGGGAAGACCCTTTTTAGAAAGCCAGGGCTGTCTTCCACTTCCCCCACCTCCCAGGAGAGAGTTGACATTCCCAGTACTGTTTACATTCTTTTCTCCTTGCATCCTTGTTCCCCACCCCTTCCAGGACCTCCTCACTCTGGACTTGGAGATAAACAGTGCCCCTATAAACAAAGTCAGCCTTCCTGCTCTGAGGAAGCCCACTCCCACCCTGACTTGCCATAGCTCAGAATTCCACCCTTCCTTGCTCATTCTTCTTTCTACACCCTCCTCCACTACTGAATTAACCCTTTTATCTTTTTCAGGAGGCTAGAGGACAACTAATGTTAATGACTTGCTTTTAATCTGTTGCCTCCCTGGATCTCAACCACCTGACTCTATACTCCCAAGCCCCTCTCCTCAGAGAAGGTAGAAAGAGCTGCCAGTGAAAACCAAAGGAGAAAATCTTCACGTTTGAGACTGAGGAGAACTGGTTCCTCTTCCCAGCTTTATCACAACATATCCACTGTGGCCCTGAACAAGTTTCCTCACTTAAGAGAGAAATGATATTACCTTTTTACACTACTGCCAATATATTGCAGAGCATATATGAAACAAACTTTCCACAGAGAGCTCAGGTCTACAGGGGACAAATTTAGGCATGGGCATGGCAGGGGGTATGACCCAGGTTACCACTATCTCTTTTGGATTTTGGAGACTGGGATTGGGTTGACATAGGATTAAATTGTAACTACCCTGTTAGTAGCAAGCAAGGACCTCATATTGTTGTTAGGTGCCATCGAGTCACTACTGACTCATAGCAACCCTATGTACAACAGAACAAAACACTGCCCGATACTGGGTCAACCTCACAATTGTTGCCACGCTTGAGCCCATTGATGCTGCCACTTTGCCAATACATCTCGCTGGAGGTCTTCCTCTTTTTTTCTGACCCTCCACCTTACCAAACATGATATCCTTCTCCAGAGATTGGTACCTCCTGACAATATGATTGTTGTTGTTGTTGTTCAGTGCCGTCGAATCGGTTCCGACTCATAACAACCCTGAACAGGGTTTCCGAGGCTGTAAATCTTTACAGGAGCAGAAAGCCTCATCTTTCTCCCGCGGAGCAGCTGGTAGTTTCGAACTGCTGAACTTGCAGTTCACAGCCCGATTCGTATAGAGCTGGGTAAAAGGTAAGGCAGGCTCTCCTCAAAGATGTCACTTTTGTTTCTCCAAGAAATATTCTTTGTCATGGGATAAAGCCTTCTGTAGTCCTGGTGTGTCACTGTGGGTTAATGTGCTGGACTGCGAAGTCTGCTTGAACCACAAGGTTGTAAGTTCAAGCTCAGTAGTCCCTCCTAGAGAACCCTATACATGGTCACTATGGGTTGGAACTGACTCAGTGGCACTTAACAACAACAGCAATAATCAATGTCTAGGAGTCCCTGGGTGGCTTAAATGGTTAAATGCTAGACTACTAACTGAAAGGTTTGCATTAAAATCCATCCAAAGGCACTTCGGAAGAAAGACCTAGTAATCTGTTTCTGAAAGGCCACACTCTTGTAAACCCACACATGGGTCACCATGAGTTGGAACTGATGACAGCAACTGGTTTTGTAGCACTATCTGTGCCCAGAAAGTTGTCTACCATGGACTAGCAGGACTGCTTTGAAGAAGCAAAGTGAAATATGGCTCCTTCTATGAGATTGGATGCCCCCTACCTGGACTAGGGACTGGGTCCTTGTCACCTCTCTATTGGCAAACCTACTGTGGGGATTGGAATGGGATGGGTGGGTATTTGGAAAATGTTGGCCAATTGTTAAATAAGAGACTGGAGCCCAAGGAAGCTGCCTGCCACCAGCAAGGTCCTCCTGGATGAACTCAGCTGCATGGCAGGCCTAGGATATCTCCTCCTTCCCTTCCTCCTTCTGTTTCCTATTTATCACAAAAGGGGAAGATAGTTAGTCTCATCCTGACTAGGAAGCAAAATGCCCTGCTTCCTTTTGGGAGAAAGCAAAAAAAAAAAAAAAAAGATGGCATTTCCCTCATCCATGATGTCTTCAAAAACAGGAAACACAGTCTCTTTCCTCCTGCCACAGTTTCTCTTACTGTGTCGTCTGGATTTTGACCATCCCACACTCAATTCTTTATTAATAGATTTATTGTTGTTGTTAAGTGCCATTGAGTCAGTTCCGACTCATAGTGACCCTGTATAGGGTTTCCGAGAAGCTGCTGGTGAATGTGAACCGCTGACCTTGTGTTTCAAACCAACCTTGCCATCCAGTGCTTTATCCCACAGCTACACACCAGGACTGATGGAGCACTGAGTCCCTCCTCTTTCCAACTAGCAATGCTCCTCACTCCACTCTGAATTGAAGGGTGGAATCACACTAACATTGGTTCCTCTGTGAGAGAAGAAACCACATTCCTTGTTTTGCCCTCTCCCCTTTCAAGCTTTGACTCAGCATATACTTTCCCAGCACGGATGTGGATCACTATGCCAGAAGGGGCTGGAGGAGGTTTCAGCTAAAGGGTATCAGCCTCTTTTTGAGTCAGACAGGCTCCAGTCTTGTTTGAGTATCTGCTTTCAGGGAAGAGTGGGAGATGTGACCATGGGTCCAAACAGCAAAGTGGGCCTCTCCCAAGCTTCCTTCTTCTCCTTGTCAAATAAAGTGACTACAAAGAAATTAGCCAAAGCAGTAGCCAGGGTGACTTGAAGATGATGAGAGATTTTTCCGGTGGATTGCTTTCTCACTGTCCTGGTTTGATCTCTCTCTGATCAGCTTTGGAGAGGGTGTCCTAGTGGACAAAGTCTTGTTCAGGCTGCAGGTGGGATGTGTGATCTT